GCGGGTGGGGGATGGAGGGAGGGGACACGGCAGCAGGTGGGGATGGAGGGAGGGGGACGCGGCAGCGGGTGGGGGATGGAGGGAGGGGACACGGCAGCAGGTGGGGATGGAGGGAGGGGGACGCGGCAGCGGGTGGGGGATGGAGGGAGGGGACACGGCAGCGGGTGGGGGATGGAGGGAGGGGGCACGGCAGCGGGTGAGGGATGGAGGGAGGGGACACGGCAGTGGGTGGGAGATAGAGGGAGGGGATGCAGCAGTGGGTGGGGGATGGAGGGAAGGGACGCAGCAGCGGGTGGGGGATGGAGGGAGGGGACACGGCAGTGGGTAGGAGATAGAGGGAGGGGATGCAGCAGTGGGTGGGGGATGGAGGGAGGGGGCACGGCAGCAGGTGAGGGATGGAGGGAGGGGGCATGGCAGCAGGTAGGGGACAGAGGCTGGGGGTATGGCAATTCACTCAGGCGGGGCATGAGGTAATTCGTCATCCTCAGCTTACTGTTGCTCTCTCGCTGTTGTTATATAAAGGTTCACTTGTGCCAGACGAATTCATTGGCCACCTTCATTATGTTATCAGGTTGGTGTTTCCATGGAGGACTTTCTTCATGTATGCATCAACGGGTGCAGAGGCTCAAGGGTGGATCCAGGCCTTGCGCTGGCAACTGGTACGTGACAACACATCACGGAAGTGCCCGTCGATTGTATTGGGACCGTAAGATTATGTCAGCTTCCCCAGCACGCCTATTTGCGAGTTGGCACGCAGGGGTCGCCGCAGGCACATGCAGATGACACGTGGCTGTGGGTTCCACGACCACTCGTGACACGGTGACTGCAAGGCGTGGCAAGCTCACATTTTCCGTGTCTGATCCATTCGACCTTCACTTGTGCGTCGTAGCCATGCTGGGGTGGGGTCGAACAGCTGCCATGTTGATGTTTATCTATCTATAGTTTATGGCTTATCTGTCTACACGATGTCTTGTCTTGCAGAGGCATCCGCACGTGATGACACTGTGATGAGCGTGTGTGGCAAGGTGTTGTCATGGCAACAGACGATAACCACGCGTGCCAATGCCGCCGATGCCATGCACGGCAGAATGAGAGATTCATGACTCGTCGAAAGGCGCAGAGCAGATAAGTTCAAACTAGAAGATGTGCACTATCTTTTTGAGGATGCATTATGTTGATTAAGGCACCTAGCTGCTGGCATTGTATTTAATAGCAGCTGGTTTACAAATCGAAATCAAAATGGCCGAGTGTGATGAAGATAGTCTGTTTTATATCCCCAGGCACCATGCAGAAAATTGCATTATAATACAATATGCATAATCGTAATATGTACAATATACATAATACCAGAAGTAGATAATAGGGAAGAAGTGTGACTTCAATAAACAAGGGAAATTCGTCATTTACTAGCCTTAGAATACCTACGATTTACTACACGTAACTCAACCAACTTGAGCTCAAATCGTACACAGTACATTCTCCTAGCATCGTGCAAAATCGTTTCCTCGTATACACCCGCAATCCGGAGATACAGACTAAAACGTACGACATGATTCTCCATTCTGTTGCCAGCAAACCGAATGTATAACCCGCCTAACTTGAAACAAAAGGCAGCTACTAACGACTCTTGCACACTCTTGTGCCCTCGGCGATGCGGTGTGGCTCGCTGGGAGATTGGACATCGACGCAACACTCGGCGAGCTATGGCCTATTTACAGCTGGTATGCCCCTCACGCACGCACGCCCACCGCAATCAGCAGCAGCTCCAGCTTCTCTTGCTGGCAACAGAATGGAGAATCGTGTCGTACGTTTTAGTCTGTATCTCCGGATTGCGGGTGTATACGAGAAAACGATTTTGGTTGGTTGAGTTACGCGTAGTAAATCGTAGGTATTCGAAGGCTAGTAAATGACGAATTTCCCTTGTTTATTGAAGTCACACTCCTTCCCTATTATCTACTTCTGATAATACATATTAAATATAATATATAATTCAATTACAATAATGTATATGGTGAGGTGTAGAGTTTTCCCTATACGATAGCATGCACTGTTCGTCGTGCATGGTCTATAAAAAGGACTGGGGCTGGTTTATACACCAGCTCATAGCTTTAGCTTCACCCAACATATATAACTTTGTGTCCCCTTTCTCACTGACGATCTCATTATGCTAGAGCCAAAACGATGCCAAAGATTTTATTTTTGAATTTTGTTCTTTGTGGTTTCTTACAAGGTAAATCTATTTACTTCTTTATTATTTTCAAACTGTACGTGGATATTTATATGTGTTTTAAAGTCAAGTACTAGTAATGGGGATCTCTTTTAAAGTAATGAAGCCATTATTTTATTGTATTTTTATTGATTGATTGAATGTAGGTAATTGATAGCCATATTGCTATTTCGTTATATTTACCCTGTCCGTGCTGCTCACTTTGATATTTTTTATGATAAAGCACCAGTGAGTGGGTCCCACTTTGCCAAGATATGTCAGAATCGCACTCTAGTCGATCGTGTGTTATAGCTCTTCTTATACTGGCTGAAATTTAATTGCTACATTGTTGAAAATCATGTATTCAGTTTTCCAAAGACTTGCAGTTTACCAAAGACACGTTTCAGTGTTGCAAAGACGTTCAGTTTGGTTTTCCAGAGACGTAGTTATGAATTGTCGTAATTGGACAAATACACGGTTAATTTCTTTATGCATTCCTGTAAATTCACCATGTTTATTGCAATTTTTACTAGTCTATAACTAATGCTGTGAACCAACTAGGGCTGTAACGATGCACAAGCCTCTCGATTCCATCCGGTTCTCGATATTAGCCTCTCAATTCGATTCCTTTGATTCGATTCCCAAAATATTGAAATGTTATCATATTTTCATTATTTTGCAATAATAAATTATTAGAAATTGCCAATGAATACTAAATGGTGAATAGACTACAGTCTAAAGAGTATATATACACTGCACAGTCGCTGAGTAACATTGGTGAGTAACACCAGAGCATATAAATCAGTGATTTATATGCTCTGGTAACACTCCACAGTATATAGCGTAGTGCCGCCATCTATTGGAGGGAAAAAGTGGTATCGAAGTGGAATCGAAAATACGGGGAAAAATATCGAGGATCGGATCGAAGGAAGAGAATCTCGATTCGATTCGATTCGATTTCGGTGGATCGTTACAGCCCTAGAACCAACGTATGTCTAAATATATTATTTAAGTATATTTCGTAGGTTCTTGCTAATCAATATTTGCCTTGAAAGCTTCCCTGAAGATGTCATAATGAAGCGTGAATGTCACATGAGTCATTATGGACACATTATGATTATGTGATTCCCCTTACTTGTCATGGCAACGAGTAAGCTGTTTAAACAAATCCACTAGACCCTCTTTGTTATGTCATATCAGACAGAAATATTGCTGTTATGAGTTAAAGAATTTTAGATGTGCGCTATATATGAGCATAATTAATATGCATTATATTTTATCGTCATATGATATTTGTCGTTAATCATTCTAGTGCACAGTATATGCACTGTATTGGTTTTACTGAAAATTGTTTTATTGGGCAACGCCTGTTACAGTTTTCTGTTTGAAGATTGATATATTTTTAGCAGACATTACAGGTTCCTTACAGCTGTGACTGTGATTTTATTGGGAAATGTGTGACCGTATGCTGTAACAGTCTAGTTTCTATCAGCTCAGTGTAGACCTATCACAGCTAGTACAGTCCTCTCTGCTACAGACCTTATAGCTTATGTAATGCTTCATTTCGGTTTTCATATTTTTCTTATAAAATATATTTTAAAGGAAGAGGATCTGGCATTTTCAGGTACAGGGAGTTCGTGTAATTTCCAGCAGACCATACGTGAAATACTGATGTATGTGTGTGTGCGTCTGTGTGTGTGTACCCCCTCAAAGCGTTGCTAAATGCTGTGAACTGACCATTAAAATGGCCTGCGCAGGCCCTTTCTCTCATCGGCGGGTGGAATTCTGGGCCAAAGTGGGAGTGCTTGATATCACCTCTGAATGGCAGATCTTGTTTCTTTAGTTATTGTGTACACGTGTGTATGTGTATCAGAATACTACCAAGTCTGTAATAAAATTACAACAAATACCAAGCCATAATTAGTAAGAAAATGGTGACAAGGTTTATGATGGCCTTATTGATACATCTACAGTGTTCAGTATATGAACAACGCTCATATTACATGAATATAATATTTTATGAAATTACAATGACGCAAATTTTTGTTTTCTTCACAATTCTCAGCTTCACCGACACAGTACAATAAAGACTAGTTACTAGTACAGGTATGAGGTGGCAGCACCTGACATGTCTGAAATGCTTGGGGATCACCAAAGCTTATTGCCATGCCCTACCTAATCGTTTAACAGTTAGCAGTGTGTAGAACTGCGACATCAGACAACTTATTTCTGTAATTGTGACATTAAAACGACCAATTTTTAACCGACATTCATCACTACCGTGCCACCTCCAACTTCATCGGTGTAATCGTTACTGAAGAATCTCAGAAAAGTAGTTCAAGTGCCTCGAACCAATTCAAACTGAACTCTTTACTGCAACAATCAATTAAGCTGACTTACTACACGAGCATGTGAAGTCATGAGCAAAACCAGGCCATAAACCCAATTTTCTTTTCCCTTTCATTAATTTGCTGACATAACCAACTACTCCTACCACGATCTGTTGCCAATAAGTTCACGTGACTTACAACATAGATAATATCAGACCGGGATTAAGACCGGAAGAAACAAAGACCGGGATTAAGACAGGCCTTCGTGTATGGCTATGCTATAGATGGCACCACTTTTTCCGTGGACGTTTTGGAGTGTCTTGCGGACGATGGCAGGTGTAAACGATTAAACTGTTGGCTTTTAATGTGGAGCTATGTCCTATGATGTAACACAGTGCTAGCAGCATCAGGCCTCATGCCGATGGTCATACTGATGCAGACTCCAGGGCGTCTGATCCAACAATATCTATCATTTGAGCTCTGTAATAAAAGAAGAATACCATCAACTATACGGATAACATTTGCAGGGGAAACGACCTGCAATTTGAAAGAAGTAAAATAATGAATAATACTAATAGTGCAACATATTAACAATGTTAAGCTACACTAGAGAGAACTAACATAAATTGCTTTCGTGATTCAAATCTTTAAATTTCTCTATTGCGATAAAATTGCGACAAAGCCAAGTCATCCTGACGTACCTTTCTGAATCCGTCAGCTTTAGCTTGCACGCCACCTGGCGAGCAAAGTTGGGAGTTTCTGGATACCCTATTTCTGAGCTCACCGTTATGCACTTCTGCAACATCAAAACAAGAGTACTAATGAATCGAATTATACAAACAAAAATAGGTTTTTATCAAAAAAAATATGTGAATGAAAAAGATCATTACAGACTTAAATGCTGGGATTTGATTTCACCCGCTTGCCTGTAGTCCAGTGTATGCAGAATGTGATGTGTGAGAAATGGCATCTGTAATGAGAGTGAAAATGCTTGTGGGGTTGCCACACTCACCACAGCCCTGCGCGAGTCTGCATGCTCTATGCAGGCCTCCACGAGTTCCTGCATGACGCGCTCGCTGGGGAAGCCCAGTATGTTGTGCTCCTGTCGCTCCAGTGCTTCTAACATCTCCCACGCCTGCTCAAACATGGCCGCCCGCAGGCAGACGACGATGACGTCACCAACCATCTCCCCTGTCCACCTGGCAGGTGCAGTGTTAGAGTGTAATTCGTTTACAATGGAAATTTATTTTCACATTGTTTCATGTGTAACACTTAATTTTATGAAGCATGCTCTATTTAAGCATTCTCTATGTACAAATTTATGTAGCAACACACAAAAGAAGCATAGAGAGGCATAGAATATGTGCATGCATGATTCACCACTTTGTTAAGTCAATGAATTTCCACTCATTTGAAAAATATCATTTTATTTCATATATGTAGAAAATAAAAAGCTAGCAGCTACACCAGTAACATCACGGACATACGAGAATTTTACAGTAATCTGCACTGAGCGTCTTTAGTTGATAGATGAATAAATATCAACTCACTGAGTTGGTGATTTGTACGTTCGATCTGACAGCTTTGCATCAATTCTTGTCTTGATGTCCCATGCTATGAAGCCAAACCTCTCCATCAACTAAAAGAACCAAGACACAATATTTATTTCCTTGATTTCCTTTCCTTCTTTATGATAGAATCTATTTAATCACAGCTGTGACGACCCCCCTCGCGCTTACCTGGGTATCGTCGAGTTTCTCCCGTCCCATGACGTGCAACAGCTCTGTCAGAAGCATCTCTCGCTGCGTCATGTCAAACATGATCATATCTGTAAGGTTTGAGCAATGCAGGTAACAATTGCATACAACAATTTACACACAAAGCACTCGTACCGTGAAATGCTTACTCTACATGGAACACTGTCATATCCGTAGAGCGTGACCAATTTACGCAACTGCATACAACATTTTACACGTACAATACATTCATTCATATTGTATTCATATTCGTTGAAAAATCTAACATTTACTAGGGGTGCAATGTGCTCCTGATAGCAACCACAGGGGTTGTTTCCACATGCGTTTTGTGGTAAATCCAATCCTCTTCGTGTTGCGCAGAGATTAGCTCCAACGCATCTTTTAGACATTTGCACGTGGACATGAGTACAGTAACATCCTGGGTAACGATAACTCGGTATTGCTGTAATTAATTCTCTGAGGTGACGACGCATACCCGACCAGACTCTAGGCAGGTGCTCGAGGGCACTGTTTGCATCGAGGTTCCTGATGACGTCCATCATGACACTAGGCTCTGGTGTGTACACCTGCATATAAACCAAACCCCCACGATAATAACAAACTCAAACGTTTCTTACTATCCACGCAAATAAAATTTATGTTTGCATACGAACCACATCAAACGATTATAACAAACTCGAAAACCTCTTACTGTTTTCCCAAACAAATCTTGCACCTGTCCTGCACATGAACCATATTCCACAATAATCACAAATTCAACCATGTCTTACTGTTGGCGCAAACAAAACGCACACCTACATACGAACCATACCCCACGATTGTAAAAAACCATAATACATCTTACTTTTCACACTAACAAAACCTGCATCAACAAAACCTATGTATGAGTCAAAGGTTTACTTACATTTGGCACCAAGTCTTCATAATATTCAAACAGCTTCTCAACAGATTCAGTGGCACACAGTAACCGGAAGAAATGCATGCTGCAAGAAGATACACAGGTGAAACAGATCGTTAGAAAGTCAAAACCAGTCCAAAGATTCCATGCAATGGGAATATCTGCATACTTGCTTATATAAGCGCATACTGTTAAAGTTAACAAGCCTATCACGAACACTCTGTGATCTGCACAAGAGACATATTAAACACATGTTTGTTTGGGCTTACACGTGCCATTTTCTTTTTCCATGAGCAATAAGCTTTGTAGTGGACAATAAACTTGAACCTGATCACTGATAAACTGAGGAAAACCATTTGGTTGTGGTTCGGCATGCATTGCTTCTGTTAAAATTACTGTCGTGTCACTCACTAGTAGGTGGACTGCTTGAAGGAATCGCCCAGCAGCAATATGTTGTTGCCCCGGTGTACGAGCCTGTGCACCCTGTAGGCCAGCCTCATGTCACACAGGTGACTGTGACACTGCAAACACACGCGTGCCGACACTTCGCAACACATACCGAATCACGATCACACGAGAAAGCCACTCTGACCAGCAAAACACGTTAATGTTACCTTAGATTACACACACGTGAACATCCCATTATCTTACTAACTTGTTAACATTGTTATAGATAGTAATTTACTTACTATGTATTGAGAGGGGCGAATTGATGTCACGATATTGAATCTAGTGAAGTAGGTCTAAAAAGTGGGTTCGTACAGATTCCGGGAAACGAAAGATTTGGAGCACATCGTCACAAACATCATGAACCGTGATCACATCGTGAGCCCAAAATGTCATAGCTTTTGCACGTCAGTTCACTTCCAAGGTTATGACCTTCCAGACTGGTGATAACCTAACAATTTATGATGATTCTGACGACGGGCCCCTGGGACATCACAGGGTCCGGCCACCATGGGCGCTGTCACTCACCACATCCATCGCTGCCACGAAGAAGTTCAAGTCGCTGAGGTGGCGGATGGTGAGATCTTTGTTGTCGATGTGCTTCATGATGTCATGAAGGATGGTACTGATCGGGCCCTCTGTACAGATGAGAAGAATGAACGAAGCTCAGCATGAGCAACTAAATATGAAAACACTCCATCGTTTACCTGTCGATAGGATCTAATCAATCTTTACTTTCTCTCCAAGGAAAATGTCTTCAGACAATGCGAACAACTAAGCATTATCATACCGTACAACAAGAGCATAACAATACACTGCAGGGATTTAGGTCTCTACATATTATATTAGATAAATCGATATCTTAATACAGATTTTGGTAAACCGTATCAGAGTGCAACCATAATCTGCAGGTGAGCGAGACTTTGCACACGGAGTTAGGTAATGTTCCCAGCAGAAAATAAAGAATGAAAAAGAAGAAAAGAAGCCACTTTATGGGCTTTGAAGTTGTTTGTGATTTACACACTATTTGAGAATGCTTATTCATAACATACTTACTGTCCTTACACCAGGTCATTAGCACGAAATAGTAACTTCCTAAGCTTGGCTCTGCAAAAACAAAAACCATTAAAGACAAAAAAATTCATGCCAGATTTGCAAAGCTAACCACGATGCGTAACGATTTGGTGTCTTGGACACAAACGCAGCAAAACAGCAGCGAAACAACGTACTTGATAGGAAATATTGATTACGATAACATTGATACGAAATAATTACACGTATAGGATTTGATAGCTGAAGTCACTACTAACCGATTCCCAGCCGTTTCATCTCAGCCAGCACGCTGAGACTCTGACCCCTCGCCAGCTTCCAATTGCCAAACTTAGACAACAACTCCAGCACAGCATTAATCGTAGTCAGGTCCGGCCGTATATCTTGAGTTTCCATTTGAAGCATCAGGTCCTACAGAGGGCAGCAACGTGGATGAGAAAAAGGCACCGTCGTGTAGATTTAAAGGCCATGCTAACACGTAGTTTCACATCAGATCACATTATTCATTTGGGCCACGTGGGCACCACACAACTAGGTCCTTCAGAATCCTAAGAACTCAGAGGGAATACTGTGCACAGGTAAATATAAACATTATCCAATTGATATTCCCTGTCACTCTTTTTTTCATTAACACTGATTATTTACCTTAGCAAGCTGCAACTTCTGTTCGTTTCCTTCACGCAGGAAGTTTGCTATGCTCAGTATGGCATTGTACGTGGAGAGATCAACTGTCAGCAAAATAATAAAACTGAAAAAATAGCTATAGAATGATTTCAGACATCAAAAATCCATTATGCCACATACGTTTAAGATACTATAAAAATAAACATTACATTGTACCTTCAAAACCTTTATCCTGCATTTCTCTGAAGAGTGCATATGCCTTTTCCACTTGGTAATACTGAATCATACCAATAATAACAAACATGAAAACAACACAAACTCCATACATAATTATGTTATAACCTCCAAAAGCGCACAGTAAAAATGCAAAACTACAGATTTGTCATCACTTCACCATAACCATCCCACTAGCTTCCTTTCTAATAACCATCATGCTATTGTGTGATAGCTGCCAATGTGTTCAGGGTGCGAAATTAACGGGAGTCCGGAGTCAAATACTCCTCGATTTCCTGCCGGACTCCCTGATTTGACATATGCAGGACAAGGGCGTAGCCAGGAATTTGGATTGGGGGGTCCTCGAGCGAGTAAGAAGGGGGTCTGGTGGTCTAAAATATTTTTTTAGTTAATGTAAAAAACTAGTTGCTTTAATCAAATTTTAGACGCTGTTTTGTTGACAATACTAATTTCTTCTGCAGCTCTACAACGACACCTAACCGACCATGCTGTGTGACTAACGTTTTTTTAATGAGGCCAGGATTAGGCCAGCTACGCGCTTTTAAGAAAAAAAGAAAATAGAGAAAGAAAAAAAATTCCTTTTTATTTTTATTGGGGGGGGGCCTAGGGCCCCAGGACCCCCCCCCCGGCTTACGCGCTTGTGCAGGAGTCGTGTGACTCCCTGAAAATTCTGCCATAATATACTAACTAGTTCTTCCAGAGCCGACGCCTCGCCGAAATTACAGTATTTTATTTTTTTTTCAGCAAATGTTCAAAGAAAAATTGGCAGACGTGTAACCGCATGAATTTTCAAAATAAGCACGTGTTATTGTTTAATATCTTTAATTTTTGAACTTCAGACTGCGGCTCCATCATTTTGCTACGGACTACCTCTTTTTGAGGGTAGGGAGTCCGTTGGACTCCCGTGTTCAACAGTTAATTTCTACCCCCTAGTGTTTCTAATATACCTTGACCATGCCCCTGATTATTAGCTTGTATGAAGTGCAGGTTCTTTCGTCTCCCATGTCCTGAAACAACTGGTCTGCTGGACCTTGGTCCCTGAAACGGAAATGCAACAATGGTTCTAGTAATCATCGCACTATAACGCATTGCTACAGCAACTGGTTGTGCTTATACAGGGAGGAGAAAATGAGCTGGTATTGAGAAAAGGGATTCGTGACAACCAACCGAATTCAGTGTTGAGTGAAGCGTGCCCGAGTGCAGAAACCCAGCACGACATGACTCGACGTGACACAAAACATGACATAACATGACATGACAGGACATAACACGACATGACATGACATTACACATAACACAAGATATGATATGATATACGATAACATGACACAACACGACACACATCGTCACATACAGGTGGCTGGAATCCATGTGGACATGCAATCATTCATGCGAATGCCCCCACAACACACTTATCTACATGAATTGGGTGCAAGTTGGGCACACGACATAAAAGACAACTACACACACAGCGTGCTCACGACAACATGAATACCGACAGACACGGAAAAATCTGTGCAATGATAATGACCACGTTTCACTACGTCGAGCGCAAACAAAACTTACTTCCAGGACTTTCTCACGCCGCGCTCCCGAGCACGCTTGTACCAATTCTCCTCGATGAACTCGGTGAGGGGTGGGTCCTGGGAGTTGTAGTAGCAGAGGATGGCCAGCAGTCGATCTCGTGCATCAGCACTCAGCTTCACCCCTGCATCACAGCATGTTACCCAGGCTACACGTCACACGTGCAATGTCACTAAAACTGTGAATTACACACACGCACACTCACACGTATAGGGGCACACACACACACACCCAGCCGCACCCACAAATAAATCAGGGTATGTATACTAAGATGCTGCACAGTGGCTGTCGATATCAATGACATTACATGAGACAAGATATTCCATGACTCAGGGAAAAATACCTGCCGCCAGACAATCCTGATAAGTCTGATAAGCAACTAGTGGTTTTCCATAGTCAAGCCTCTCTAGGACAGCCTCCTCCGTTGCTCCCTCATGTTTGTATTTTGGATTGTCTGGCATTAGCACCTGCGTTGCATACGTCAACCTTAGTATCCAGAGAGTGACCATCACTCACAGCTATTAAACATTCTATCATTCGTTCACATAATACACAGAAGATACTGACAAGCATTTTGTTAGTTGCAAACGTACACACACACACAAAAATAAAAAATACTGTTTCTAAAAGTTCATGTCACTTAAAAATGCACACGTTGTTTTTTCTCTCATTTGTGTCACTTCCAATAGGCAATTTTAGATAGTATAAAGTTTTGTACCGGTATCTGTGGATCTGCTGGGTTGATTCCTTCAAACAGTTCTGGGTACTGGTTGGATATCCAGTGGGCGGCTTTTCTGCCCGATTCTTTCGACAAAGCGTATGACCGCTGCGTAGAAAATATTACACTGTCAGAAATGCTATGCAGTAACCACTACGCCGGTGTAGTCGCTGTGTGTGGGATTGATGGAATGAATTCCACTTGCATTCAAAACTCAACATACCATTATGCAACATTGAGCAAATAAAACACATCAATTCTTACCTTGGCGATGTTACTGGTAGGTATAAAGAAGGGGTCATCGTGATACTTGTAGTGAGCCGCTGTCTGGTCCTGTGAATGTAGTAAAGTCATTGCAGAACAATCTTGAACGACACGTAGGTAATGGCATAGCAACGAGTAAAATTGGTGAGACATTCATTATATTTACGATAATTTGAATGACTAACACCTATAGATATACTCACTCTTGCAACTGTTGATGCGAGCGCTCTCAAAATATCAGTAGGACCTCTGAAATCCAAATATAATACAAATATTTCAACTACAACTATTAGTATTACTGCTAAACTATGAGCAATACCTAGATCCAACTTACCAAACAATTCATTAATACATCCATAGAAATGACTGTGTTACTTCGCTATAAGCTAGTCTATATGTGCAGCAATAGTAGCTATGTATGATGTAACACCAAATAACAAATATTTCCAAAAAGTTTCAATAATGCAAATTAAACCCAATGGAGAAATACATACATTGTTCAGAATGTTGTATACCTACCTCTCTATTCTGTCAGGTATCACAATTTCTTGTGAATGTTCTGCCACCTCTTCATTTGCACTGCATAGATGCTGTGTACACAACCTGTATGATAAACCAGTGATGAAATCCAACTTCGTGCTTCTATTATTGTTATTTGTAAAATAGTTGCTAAATGACTAATTAGAATTAGAATTAAAAAGAAATTGTTGATTCATGTAACCTTGTAATCTTGCAAGAATTTGTCTTCAAAGTCGAAGAGACTACAGGGGTAGAAATTAACTTTTGAACAAGGGAGTCCAACTGACTCCCTGCCCTCAAAAAGAGGGAGTCCGCGGCAAAATGAGGGAGTTCCCAGTCTGAAGTTCAAAATTAATGATATTAACAATAACGCATGTGCTTATTTTTAAGATTCATGCGGTTGCACGTCTGCCAAATTTTCTTTGGACATTTGCTGAAAAAATACGTTAATTCTGTGAGGCCGTGCTCTGGAACGAACTAGTTAGTATGGAAGAATTTTCAGGGAGTCACACGGACTCCTGCATATGTCAAATCAAGAAGTCTGGCAGTAAATCAGGGAGTATTTGACTCCGGACTCCCGTTAATTTCGCACCCTGGACTATACTGAAGGCAACAGACAGTCAAAATGGATCAAATCAATATACCAACACTGTGGATGACAGTAAAGACACAGAAAGTACAAAAAGTATGCTGGTTCACTAAATTCAACTCAGAATGTCAACTGACTTCAATACTATATTAGAGAGATCCAGTGCTGGTAGATTCTGATATAGTTGTAAAGAGCCAGTTGAATTTTCTTTTTATTAGCCGCATTGTCTAGTGTCCGTTTAGTTCATTTCGATCTAGGTATAATAATGTAACCCAACACCAGAGTAGGACCCCCTTATAATATGTCTTTGTCAATTAAACATCTGATAATTTATGGGCTGTCACAAAACAGGTTCAGCTTTAAATGCATATCAGACCTAACATGTGTTAAATGCCTGGATAGTGGATAGCACCCTGTATAATAAGAGGTTGATTGGTGGCTGTCAGTGTCAATAACATTAACAACAACACTACGCAAGGTGGGATATTCTTATCTTGGCTGTCCGTGTCAATGACAATCCCTGCACAGCCAACCATTCCTGATACGTCAGATGAGCAAGGAACCTCTGAGGTTCTAGGCTTCCTCTGCAGTAATTTAGTCTTAGCCACCGTGGCTAAATGAACCATAAAAACCTTTAGCCACAAAGGCAACTCATTAGCCACACTTTGTTTGTACACTGCCTTGCCTCGGGCATAGGCTACACATTATTTTTACCTGCTTCATTACACCAGGAACAAAGCAAAACATCGTTTTCCTTGATAAGCCCCTTAAATTCAGAAAACCAATGAGCTTGGTTCTCTGCCATCTCTATCGTACGGTATGACATGCCCATCTCTATCGTACGGTTTAATATCCTTCTTTTCACTATTCACTTCTGGACATTTATTTTTATTATCTTGGCTTGATCCTTCCTTTCCTCCACTAGTAAAAAAATCTTTCATCAGACTCTGCCGGCTAGCCATCTCGATTTGTTTCACGTTGCCAGGATACGTATCAAACTGTAAACTACTCTCTTATTGGCTAGTGTAAGGCATAGGGCCAAGCATGACCTAGAATCAATGCACCAATGGTATCGCGTGTCTAATATGGATAGCTCTACACAAAAAATGGATCGATCTCCACAAAATCTGGTGACGTGGCCACAAAGTACATACAAAACATCGAGGAGAGTCAGATCTACTTGAAGGCAGTTTATTTGGCCAATAAAACAGCCTCAAAGTAATTATTTATTTCCTTTCGCCAGCGTGTGCTTTATCCTTTTAGCCACAATGCACATTTTTTAAGCCACATTGCACTTTTTTAAGTCCAGAGGACCGTGGCGAACGTCTAGCGGAAGCCAAGCGTCATAACCTCATAAATAGTAGTCTTCAAAATTCCAAGGGACTATAACGAATACGGAGAGACAAGTTGATCAAATCGATAGATCAACACTGCGGATTGCAGTGGAAAAACCTGCAAATTTGCAATTTACCAAAGATGAAGGGAGCGAATTCCATTGCCAATACGGTATCACAGAAACAAAAAATCTAAACTTAAAAGAATCTTTAGAAGATGGCAAATGCCAAAAGCATTGATCACGCTCAGATGATTGAGTGCATCGAACAGGCTCCATCAGGCAAGAGGGAATGCCAATCTTCACCTGACCATGATGGATTTTATGGAAAGTTACAAGTTTAGCATGGAGAAAGCGGACACAAAGAGGAGGCCAATCAAGACGAGCCAAAACAATATCAACACTATCATGATAGATTTTGGAAACCCACCTCGCAGCTTAATGCTGAATGGCATCCAATTTTTGAGTAGTTCTGAAGTATATAGGGCTACCAGCCTGGCGAAGCATATTCTAATATGGGCAGAACCATAGTATTAAAAGCCAGGGACCAAGTTTTAGAATCTGCAAAGCTAAGGTTACGCCATAACATACCAAAGGCGTGAGACGCTTTCTTAAAATATAATCAATGTGGGCATTCCAGTGAAGATCGCTATTAATAATAAAATATTATATAATAATAGCAAGTGAAATAGTTTTGGCTTTTGCCATAGTCCAAAAATAGAAAATATGATACCCTAGAATGATATCCTAACCCTACTCTTGGGTCTTGTGTATGGTTAGATTATTGTATCGAACTGATTTCAACCCATGTGCCTGATTTGCACAATTCACAATTGCCATGACCTCGTATTGATTGCCAGATTGGGCCGATGCAGTGATTTGATGCAATGCAAATGGCATAGCCATCTCTGTTTCTGTTGTAGTACGTTGCAGTATCCAAATTTGGCATCGAGGGGGCTAATTATTTTAGAATTGATGTTGGCTGAGCATAGATGTAAATTGCTCAGCACTGTCCACAGTTACTATGTGGTCACCCAGGTGGTTCCACTCTATCACTGTGTGGACAAAAAAGGAATTCTTGTACGCTGTGGCTATATGCCCGGCAGCCGGGCACGGTCTTCGATTTCCTAAATGCCGGCCCCCATGTTCTAACCCTAACCCTTGTTTACTTTGAGATAACGCTGCGATGAAAATTAAAAACTGCGGCATTAGGAAATCGAAGACGGTGCCCGCAGCCGTCAGATATATGCGGGCCGGCTGCCGGGCGGGGATTATAGCCACTTCTGATATGCTGTCGTGGCTGGTTATCTGTGCAGGTTGTTGTTACGCTGGTTACGTTTGAAATCTTTGAGTTCAGGACGAATTGAAAGCGCCCTGTTCGGTGATCGGAAGCACTGATGAACTGCCTCCTTGTGTTTGTATCTTCTGGTGGTCTCTCACTCGTCTTTTTGCGCCGTTTGAAACTGTTGTTAAACCTGACGGCGGGCATTGCTGGGTGTACCAAAACCCTCTGAGATTTGTAGAGATAGGTTAGCTTAGTTCTCATATCACGGGCGGCGGTTTGGAGGCTTTCACCTGTAGGGCACGATAAGCATGTCTGTAACACAGCCTGGAGTTCTGCTGTGCGTAGTCCTCTCGTGTGATGAAGCGGGGCTGCACGGTGTTGTATCTTCTCAGTCGGTCTTATCCTGTCGCTGGTTATCGGGTCCATACTATTGCACCAATACTCCATTATGGGTTCGCACTGGGCTGGAATGATGCAAGACGCTTGTTTGCTGGTTGGACACCTCGTAAGTTCTCCGCAGGAAGCGCAGAGTAGATGATGCTTTCTGGTAGCGCTTTTAGACGAATAACTTCTGCCATATAACCTTTTTTATATTTTGGTGATGGGTTATATTGGGACAGGAACGGGCGTTCATTGGAAATTTTCGTGCAGAATGCATGCAAAATGCATCGCTGGCGAATGTGGCCGTTACGCCCTATTGGGCGCGATAAAAAAAAAAAAAAACCTACCGTTTCCTTCTACATTGACTTCAACCCTTGTACAGATATGGTGTATACATTCACTTTCATCGTTATTCACTTCTGTAAAAGCATTTTTGTTTCTTCAGAAACCCCTGCTGCATCCACTTTCGTAAATAACATTCGCCATTTACAAACAATCAGGACCAATCAGAGCGGAGTGTTAACATACTTAGCTGGTTCTCTTGTAATCTGTGGCGCTGCAGGAGGCTGATAAGACTCGCTGTTGCTGAATTGGGTTCTGGGTTTCTGATTGTTTTGTTTTTCGTAAATGCGCGCGAATGTTATCTGACGAAAGTTTGAATTGCAGCGGTGTTTCTTGAAAAAAAAAACAATCTTTAAAGAAGGTTGAATAACGATTTGAATGTAATGTATACACATATCTGTGCAAGGTGAATATGTAGAAGGGAACGGGTTTAGGTTTTTTCGCCTGCGCCAATAGCGGCGTACGGGCCCATTCTCAGGCATTCATTTTGCATGCGGGGCGATCTCACGAAAGTTTCAATGAACCCCGTTGCTGTTCCCAATATAATACCCTCACCAAAATATAAAAAAAGTTATATGGGACCCACAGGAAATTAGTTCGGTCTAGGGTAGCGCTTGAGAGCGAGGGCTCGAATTAACGACGACCGACGCAAGTGCCGGTCGGATTTCCATCCACTATCAATTGCCGTACTGCAGCCCCTGAGAAAGTTCCAAACTCGACGACGGCATCACCGCCTTGCCCGTTTTGTGTAATTGCCGGTCGGTGTCCCTTTATCTACTGCGCCTAGTGTCGTTTTTATGCGAATCAAACATAACACGCGTGGGTGCGGTGCTGTTAGGGTGCAATGATGGAGCTTAAACGATAGTGCGCAAGGGAGACGGCGAACGAAATAACAGCACGATAATTATTCACTCCTGATAGCGCGGCATATAAAGATTTAGTTGGTTTACGTGTTACTTCCATAGCAGAGGCGGGTACCAAGGGTCGGTGTTACGCGGTGTAAGCTTCATGGGGCATATTGTTTTGGCATTAAAAGCGAAGACGATGTTGAGTGCTACTAATTTTGTGAGAAGTTTTCTTTATTTTACAAAAGGGCCTTGGTGCCGCTTTCTCAAATTTTTGAAAGTTGCCTGGGTGCCTTTTAAAATTGCCGT